AAGCGTTCAAGCAAACCACTTCTGAAGATGCAAGCCACTCGTGCTTGCGAAACGTCAGGAAGAAATTCTACCGAACGACGGCCTAAAAACCCGAATAACCCATTAGTTTCAAAGAATGGTCTCGAAAGTCTATCTCTTTTGATACGTACTGTAATGGTTTCTCTCGCACAGGTGCCTCCAAGATTTCTCAAAAAGCCCAAAGATTTGACTGATTATTCGTCAAAAGACATAGAATTAGAGTGTAGCGTGTATGGGATTCCTCAGCCAAAGATCCTATGGTTCAAGAATGGGGAACTAGTTAGGGATTCTGAATACTACCAGCTTGTTAATGGGTATGTAATGAAGAGCGCCTGGGCAATCCCATTGGAGTGGTTCAATGTGGCTTTCAGGAACAACTTGAAAATTGTGGGTCTTCTAACTGAGGATTCGGGATTGTTTCAATGTTTCGCCTCCAATCCGGCCGGCAATATCCAGGCTGCAGCCAGCTTGAAAGTCTTGCCAAGCCCTGGTAAGTACAAATCGAATTTTTTTCGATACCGGAAAACTAGTGCCACTTTAAATTAATGAAAAACCTATTAACCGAGGGAGTTCAGGATGCGTAAATCTCTAATATCCAAAATACAGACAATTTTATTAGAGATTCTCGATCTTGAAACCGCCATTTACTTACGTCCGACACTGGCGAGAATTCTGTATTTTATTCTATAGGGTGCGTCGGTGAGCACATGATCAAAAGAAGACGATCTGACCTGACTTTTACTCATCATTTTTTTGCGCAAACAACTGCAGGATTTTACAAAGTGCGCAAAATTGTTCGAAAAAGATTAGTGTCTCAACTCATAAAAAGTCCTGGTAGTTTTTGCTCCAAGACACGCACGCATTTCTCAGTTCCACTGCTGACCATCATTAGCAGAGGAGCCGGACGTTTTTTCTTGAAATAGTTAGGTCATATGGTCTTCATTTGAGCCCACGAATCTCTCCGTGCTTCTAGGTATATTATTTCTCCTCAAGGGCGGATTCAGAGGGGGGATTCAAAAAAAACCACGCAAATCTAAAACTTCTTGAATTCAAGCATTTTTTGAGAAAACTGCCAACATTTCCTTATTGATGGTTCACTTGCTAAAAA